ATGCTGCGGGCAAATAGGGGGTGGGTGGGTAAGTTTAGGGTGTGAAGCGATCCTCAGAATCAGGGACTTTGTCTACAACGCAGGGTTTCGAAGAAGCTCTGTGTCTACCCTGCATATGGCATATGAGTTGTTCTGTTGTTCTCGAAATTATGGGCCCTTTTGGTTATGGATTCTAATACGGCACCTAATATCTAGGGTACCCAAATGTCACCCTAACTTTGGGAACTACCCATATTCTCCTGCACAACCCATATTTGGCCTTCTGCACAGCCACCCGGAGCTTCCTTGGGGCACGCACCAAGCTCCTTGTGAAGGAGTTAAGAGGAACCTAGGAGCTTCCCACTCCCTGGGCCAAACCTTCCCAAAAATCCTAAATCACCAAAAGCCCCTAAACCCCAAAAACCACAGGAACAAGAAAAAACACGCTAAATCAATAACCCTCACCTTACCACCCAAGAAGGTCAAAGCGCGTTCTCACCATGGAGCGCCTTTCGGGTGTGCCTTTGGTGGACCTGGAGGGCATTAAGCTGGGGGCTCAGGAGAATGGTTGTGTGTTGAACATGGTGCGGAAGTAGAAGGAGATGTAATGGTATGACGGCCTTCAGACTAACGTATAAAGAAATAATGGAGAATCAAATGGAAAAGAAAGCGGAAACTTCGCTCGTACAGGGTTCATAGGGGCTAGCCCAGGCCCATTCGCACAATGTCCCAGCCACCTGCCCCAGAACGGCCGGTCGATCCAAAAAGCTCCCAGCCTGATAGCACTCCCGCTTTGTAACGCTAGCTGTGAAGGGAGTTTCTCAAACTTGTCGAGCCCCCTGGACCCCCACAAGAACTGGACTGAATCAAGGGCATGGTTGGGGCCTTTTGTAGAAACACCTGGCAGGACCTCTAAATATTAAATGATATTATGACTAATCTGAACCTGAAACCACTTGTCTACACCAAGGAAGTACACCAAAGATCCAGAGTTGACGCTTGTGAACGCGTTGAACGCGAGAGCCCAAGTGGCTCTTGATGGAGCCAAGCTTGCATCACCTTGGGCCTCAACACTATCGAAACTGCTAAAACCTCGCCTCCATCATTCAGCTGGAGCTCCAGTAAGGGTACACGATTTGTGAAGTTCAAAATGTGAGATGATGTCTCGCCAGGTGGATGCTATTACATAAGCTCCATGCGACAAATACATCAGCATCCCACAACGCCAAAGAAAGACATGAGTTTTCAAATATGATCAGAGTCCCTCAAAAATGGTTCATAAATTGGGTGCTAGCCTACAGTAGACCCACCTCGCCCTTCGAAACTCGCGTATGTTGAACCCTTTACTTACATCCCCGGGCCCAAGCTCGAAGAGCCCAAGCCACAACGCTTGCATCCCCAAAGCCCGACTGAAGCTTTCTCTCGAGGGCTGCCAATCCTCGCAAACGTTTATTCATACACTGCTTGGAGGGTCAGGGGGACTTAGTAAGTAGCTTAATAAACCCCTCTAACCCATATAGTAACCCTGGTTATCCTAATTATGATCCTACGTACTAAGTCCCCATCACCCTCCAAGTGCTACCAAGAGCAATAATCTGGTAGGATGATGAACCTGTGGCTGAGACAACATTATCGTGACAATTCACGTAAACACAAGCAACAAACAACAAGCCCAATTCTACACAAACAAGATCAACTAAGCAGTATCACAGTTTGCGATCCCGGAAGCTTAACATACTGTAACGTACTACTCTGCTTACTCGTCTGTGGGGTCTGTGTTGGCGAGAGATTTGGGGCAGGAAGAATAAGTTCCCATGAGGTGTGGGCACTCTCCGTGCAGAAGTGCGAGTTCTTCCACGCGGACGTCCATGCAGGGAACCTGCTGGTGCTTGAGGCCTGCATTTGGTGGCATTCGCATGCACATCTGCTGGGGGAAAAATTGCTCGAACGTGCAACATCGGACTTGAGTTTGTGAGCATGGTGGGTCTAGCGGCTAGGGTTTCAGCATAAGATTCTAAAAGAGATGGAGCTTACATGGGAGGCCTGCCATGGGGGTTCGAGGGATGGCCAGGTCAGGCTTTGCTGCCTGAAGGGTTCAATGTGGGCTACTGTCAATATTAGCCTATGGTTTGTTGTTGTGGAGTTTATGGAGAGACAACTAAAAGCATGGTTCCCCTGTAGCGTGGTAGCCTAGCTTAAGTTCCTTGACCGCAGACTTAGCATGTTTCATCATTCCCGGGCCTTGGACCGAACACGGAGCTGCCTGAGGACGGCCGTGTTGGCTTTATCGACTTCGGCATTGTCGGCACCGCGCTCAGTTTTCAGTCACTGCAGGCTTGGCTGAATCCTAGAACCTGAAGTACATAGAAACAGCCTTGCTGCGCTCCCTTTGCATTCGACCTAGGTAGGCTCTCCCCTCAGATGGCTACGGGCATAGACAAGCTGAACACCGCGCTGGCTGTGGGGAGCCAAGGGGCGGATATGATTCTGGTTGAGGCTTAAACCCTGCATAGTAGTTTCCATTTTCTTTTCCATTATCCCTATGTAGCCCCAATATATACCGCATAATCCTTATATGGACCCTATATAGTCTGGGATAGGAGTTTTGAAGCTTCATGAAGTTGACAGCTTAGCTTTAGCTTTGGATTATTCCTTCAGAGGTATCAGCAAATTGTCACACCATGGCGGCTCGGCGTGGAATTAGAGACTTGTTTTACTTTTGCCTGCTTTACTATTTCAGGACACTTCCTTCATATCCTTGCATCCGCTGAGCCTCAAAACCCTCCAATCCTGAGTTTCTGACAACTTTCAACCTCGGGCTGCCCAGGTCAGCGATGCCAAGGGCATGGTTGGTGCCTCTGAGGGCTGTACGGCGAGATGATGGAGGGCATCCACTTATACCCTAAGTACCTGCAATTGGGAATTCTCGGTGTGGTGGTTCAGTCTAGCTGCTAGCCTTTCATACATACAAGCTCTAGGTCCTTTGTAGACGGCACCCTTACACCCAAAACCTGGAAACTGCGGAAAGCGTCAGGCAGTGTCACCACAGCACATCACACTTTCTGTGGGTTGTTGCGAGACTGCACTCTCTCTGCAGGACTGTGACTGCTGAGATGAAACTATTCTATGCAGTTCTCGTGGCTATAGCATAAAAGTTGAATGACATCATGTGATATCGACTCTCTGGGGCGTCTTTGGAGCCCACGTCTTTACCAGAGGACCCTACCAGGCAATCTTCAAGCTCAATCCCTCTAATCGAAGCCTCCGAAGCCTGCAAAGTCAAAAAACATGAGCTCCGCAAGCTTCTCAAGCGCTCGGCGTCTAGATTTTGGGACGGGCTTTTCAGGGGCTGGAGGCATGATACCTACTGCTTCATGTTCTCGTAGTCCAAAGCCCGCCTAGTGCTTATAAAAGTAGATGCCGCTGTGTAGTAGCAGCTGCACAGGCCAATGCCCTTATATCCATGGGGGCCACAGTGGGTGAGGCTGGGGTGATTCAGCATGTGCACGCTTGGGGTACGGGTTAGATGTTCGCGGTCTGCACTGGCGACAGGGCTCAAGAGTTCCACACATACGCTTGGAGTTGAGTGGCTCATCACATCTTAGAGGCTGGTTCAGGGTTCAGGCTGCGAGGTCCAGGTGGTGCGGTGCCGAGAAGCTGGGGTGAAGCTACATTTTTGGGGGATTGATGTTCCAGTCCATGTCTAAAAACGCCGCAGTGGTGTCTCCTTTCAGATACTCGTCCCCAGTTGCTGTGTTTGCAAACTTTTTCCTGAATGTGAAGCCCGGATTATGATCCAAGTTTACCCTGAGTTGGTAGGGCATGTTTCCTTGCACACTCCCACCCTGTGAAATTTGGTGCGCACCCATAAGTTTGAGACCGTTACCTTGCCTTCTTAAGTTGACCTGGTGCTTCGTATGAATGAGGCACTCAACCAAGCAATATCCATCGTGGGGCCTGTCTTCGTCCAAGTAACCGTCCTTGTCAACCTGCTTCATTCCTCGCAGTTCTACATCTCGCACGCGCGCCCTAGATAGGAGTAACCATTATTTAAGGGCTGACGCCGTGCCGCCGACCCCCAAGAAAAGGGGGCGGCGACGTCTGACGGCACTGGAGGTGCTTCAGCAAAGAGTGCTTTTTGCCGGTCCCAGAGGATTTTCTTGAGGCTGGCATGTTGCGGGGAAAGATTTGTGGAAGTCTGGCTCCAGCACTTATGAAGGGCG